TTCACCCGTTGCCTACTGGTGGTGGTCAGAGGGCCCGGTGGCGCCAGTGTTTGGCAGCCTCGCCTCTGTCTGCTACAATGTAGCTTGCCATCACCAGTGCGTGAATGGGTGGATGACTGGATATGTAAAGCGCTTTGGGGTCCTTAGGGACTAGTAAAGCGCTATATAAATACAGGCCATTTACCATTTATGTATATGAAAGTACTGAAGGACCCAAACATGAGGCTACTGAAAGCAAAATGTTGACTGATTAACAGGAAGTAATGACAGAGCGATAAGCTCCTGTGAAAGGTGAAAGAATCAATACAATCCACAGGCATCCACAGCCTAAGAAAGTAGCACGAGCAGTTTTTGGCTACACTGGTCCCAGTTTGGAAACCCATCTTATTAGAAAGAACGAGCAGTGGTTAAAGCCAATGTTGGCTCAAATGTTCAGCACCCTGAACGATACCACTGCAGTAGCAGTTGCGGCCCTTGGTGAGCCTGGTTCAGCTGGCAGGTTCTTCCTGTTAAAAAGAAGCTCTTCCTTCCCACTATCGCCAAGTGCGTGCTCATAAGTGTCCTATGATTATCAGGCTTTTCTCTGTATTATTGTGGTGTCATTACCTTAAAATATAATGTGAGATGAATGTTGCTGTGATTTGATATATAAATAAATACATTAAACTAAATAGCAGTGCCACTCAACTCAACTCAACTCAAGGCTTGTTATCCCAACAGATGCTCCGCCTTCATGCCAAAGCTTGAGTAGCTACACTTATTTTTTCCTATTTTGCCCGACTTTGGAGCATTTTGCGCTGCCATTCCTGGATGGAATAACACTTGATGTAAAACACTGACGTAAAAGCACTAAAAGTGTCTTCAGAGACTGAGTGGCGCATCAACAGCATGAGTCCCATTGCACAGCACTGACCTTGACGATACCCAGGCATTTCCTTTCGGGCTGATTTGCTTTCACATTTGCTCTGTTGTAATGTTTGTTCTGAGCTAATTAGCAAATATTTGGGTAGATGGCAATATAGAAACTACAAGGTATACAGCTCCACACTCTGTTTTGTTTTGATATATGAACCCACTGCCAGAAGCAGCATGTGTGTTAAAAATTCATCATGCATTAACTGGATCAAATGTTCATACATAGCAGTCTGAAGGTCAGTGCTATGCCTAAACATCTTTATTAAACATAAAAAAAACATGATGGATTCTCATGAGGTCAAACTGTTTACCAAAGCATGAAGGATTATTTTATTAACCTCAGACAGTAAGATTGATTGGACGACTGACAGAAACAAGAGCAGAAAATGGAGAAGGGTTGCTCTGCATCATAATCTTTGCTTGACACTAATTCGTAGTCATGGAGAAGAGCACTTTTTATTTACATATGCCAACATAATTTTCCATGTCAGGTTTCCTACTTTCCCTCCTTCAAGCTTCCACAAAATTTCCTTTCCATTACAGTAACTGGATGACAGAACACAGCTTTCAAATGTCAAAGTGACTTTTTTTTTCTATCAGCTCAATTATACTTAGTTAAAGTACTTCTTCAAGAGTGCTGAACTTCAAAGACAAGACTCAGCAACTATATGTGGATGTCAGGAACTGCTGTTGTTTCTGATTTTTATGTGCAGTCTTTTATTTTTACGTTATTCGCCTCTGGAGTCATTTTTCTTTGTCAGTCTCTGTTGGTGAAGGTAAAGTTCTATAAACAGACCTGATTAAGAGTTTCCTTGTTGATGGTCACTAAAGAGACTGTTTCAGACTATATGTGACTATAGCATGTACCCATTTATTGCTCACCCTGACCCTGCCTGGATGCTAAGGTTTTCTCTGAAAGGTGTTTTATGAATTATTCTTGTAGGTTCTAATTAAACAACTTCTGTTTTATGTTTTACAAATCTATGGAAATCAGTGATATGTGTCATAGTATAATTACATCTGACAAAGAGTTTGTGTTTGTGTGCATGGCAAGCTTGAAAAGTTTGAATGAATTATAATAAAACTTTGCAGGGGTGCAGAGTGGAGTCAAGTTAACAATCCATTAACATTTTGCTTACATCCACCAAGAATCTTCAAGGTGAACAAAGAGTCTTGTAGACTGTGGTGTGTATATTGTAAACATATGAAAAGTACCATGTAAGATGTAAAATATAAAGTAACATCTGACCTCTGACCTCAACTACAAGGTTAACAGATTGATCTGAAGGTCAAAGTGATAATAAAACTACTGTCATTGGTTGTTTTGACATCATATAGATATTAAAGCAACTTTGACTGAAATTATCATGTCACATTTGACCTCTGACCTCTCAGGGTGAATTAAGGTCGAACTTTCTTTTATCTTGAAAACTTTGCTTAAAATTCTCCTGCTTTTGTTAGCATTGGCAACATTTTGAAAATGATACTAGTATATGATGATTGTAAATATCAAATTTATATTTTCCACCCATGTGTCACATTTGACCTCTGACCTCAGTGTTACAGCTTAACACTTGCCAATTGCAGATTACAAACACACACACACACACACACACACACACACACACACACACACACACACACACACACACACACACACACACACACGTCTGGTTTGCTATCCTTGTGGGGACATCCCATTGACATAATGCTTTCCCTAGCTGCTTACCCTAACCATCCAAAATGAATGACCCTACACTTAAACCTAACTCAAATGTAGCTTCACACATAAACCACATTTTGAGTGTGAAAAATGGCCTCAATGCCTAATCACAACCCAATTGTAACCCTGACACTAAATCCACTTTGGTCCCCACCAGTATAGTAAGATACAGTATATATATATATATATATATATATATGCGTGCTCACTTATTTTCAGATCAATATCTCTAATCCACTACTCCATTATATAACTGCTCTATCGTCATGTTAACCTTGTTAAGGTACGTAAACACGAGACTTCAGTTATTTATGAAACAAGTGAGATAGTACTGACTTTTATCTGCCTTAATATTAAGCACCTTGTTTATTGTTCTGTTATTTCAAACTTGTCTCAGATACATTTTGTCCCTGCACTGTTCTTACCTCTTGTCATGCATCACCTTTCTGTCTCTTTAGCTGACAGAAAATGAAAGGTATCATGTTGATCATAACTGAACATACTCACTGTACTGTGAGATGGGAGTCCTTGAAGTCCTCTAAGAACATGCTGCACGCTGTTTCTTTTCTCTTTGTTTTCTGTGCTTTTGAAATAAACTGCTTTAATCCTTGAAACAAATACAGCCCAGTATTTGCTGCTTCTGTAGCTGCTGAATGAGTCCAGTAGTAAACAAATCCAGCACATTTCTCTTCAATAGGAGGCTATGGGTTCTCTGACTTATAATAATAATAATAATGAATTGGATTTATGTAGCGCTTTTCAAGGCACCCAATTATCATAAATGGATGTAGACTGCCCACTTGTGCTAGGTTTTTAAGGATGTATTAGAAATACAGCATCCAAAACCCTAGGAGCACATCAAAAGGAGTCATACAAAGAAATATTTTTCGTATAGATCGTATAATATTTCTAGGTGAACAATAAAGTTAATGCAAATTTTGAGTATCTGTGTGCTTTCAGTGAGGCAGAATTTAGATGCTATTCAGAGAGAATTTACTGGTGCATTCATCAGAGACTTGTTCAACTACACATAAGAACTAAATGAAAGTGTGAGAAGTAAAATTGGTGTTCTGAGGCCACAGGGCTTTTTCAGCATCAAATCACGACTCGGAGGGAGCAGTGAGTGGCACTTTAAAACACTTTGAGGAAACTGGATCAGTTTTATCCAAACCATGAGAAGATTTTCCTCTGCAGGCAGCTGCACCCCTCTGATGATTTAAAAGATGATTGAGGGCTGAGATAGCCAAACACCACCAAAATGATGGCTGCTGCTAAGTCCCCACTGTCAGCCACTGAAGGTGCCAGGTTCATCCCTCCCCCTCACCTACAATCGCTTGCTATTTATTTCATTTGTATTGAATTCATTTTTGAATTTGTTACTTTACCTAATTTTGCCCCAGAGAAAATGATTCATTGGACTACTTACATGAGCTTTGTGTTACAGGATGTGTTACAATATAAACCTAATGAGGACACATACAAGGTTTATTTTAATGTGAACACAAAGTTGACAATACAAATAAAAAGTTTAAGAACAAAAATAACCCAAAGAAACTTCAAAGTGATTGTTGCTGAAATTCTGCTGCAGAAACATGTACAAGTAGACGGCTACAGTGCTACAAACCTGGTCATCACTGCCTTTGCTACTTGTTACAGTTCAGGCTCTGGCTGCTGGGCCCGGGTCAGCATACGTTCAGTTTTAACATCACTCTCTGCATATGCTTGCAAGTTGTTAACAGTGTTGTGTTCACGCTTGTCCTTTTTGTGCATTTTAATAGTAGTAGTGTTCACGACACCTCCAAACTTTTAGCCCAGCTTCACAATTTTTCTTCTCCCTCTACATGAATAATTTTCTTAATATGACTAAGAAAATAAAATGTAATAGGATTCTTTGATTTTTGCAAAACCAAAAATTAAAGCTACATATGCTGAATATGCAACACTGAATTCAACACCTTTATACTTTTCATCGTTAGTTACACAAAACACTAAATTAGAAAATCTGGCTTGGGGGTATCTGTTGTTTAATCGTTTTGTTAATTAGCAATGGAAACAAATATTGGTTCTAGCCATGCTAATGCTGTGATGGAAGATCAAATAATACAACCTTGCCTGAGGTTTTTGATGCGTTAATTATTTCACACACACACACACACACACACACACACACACACACACACACACACACACACACACACACACAATGTTAAAGGAGGGACATAAAAACCACTCAGATCATAACAGTTCATGTATTAATGGCCACAAGACAGGAAACCCAATAGTGTTGATGTTGTACTGAACAAATTCTAAAAGTTATCACATGTATTTATGACCTTCTGCTGCCCTCAGGTGAATGTATGGCTCAACAAACTCCCCAACGATGTAAACTGGGCTTAAAGTTGTGCAGCTTGTTTTCTGCTCCATGCATTTTCTCACACTGCCTGCGTGAACTTTTTCTGCTGCTTACAACACATCACCAAAGGGGGCAGTGTAGTGCACACCAAACAACCAAAGAAGAAGCCACAAACTGAAGGGGTAATACTGCCCACTATTGGGAAACCTGAGAAATGCGCCAGCCAAAGAAACCCAACAAAGTAACAACCGAGGGGCAGAATACTCCCCGCCTGACATCCATGGAATGTCACCCTCAACTAACATGTAAAAGGCAAGTGACATACAATGAAACAAAGTTTCTGCTTCTAAGTACAATCCTTAGACACCAATAGCACAACCTCACTTATAGGCCTTATGTAGCACTTGTTTTCACCCTTGCGGAAAATCCTCACCTCTATCTTCCTTACAAGCCCATCCTCACTGGGAAAGGTTTTGGTGATAAGTCCAAGTGGCCAGTTGTTCCTATGTTCGAGTGTCTCTCTTAAAAGAACAACATCTCCTGTTTGTAGGTTAGGCTTTACTGTTTTCCATTTGCGGCGGTCCTGAAGTCCTGAGATGTATTCTTTTTTCCATCGTCTCCAGAAGACATCAGCGAAGTATTGTACGCGCCTCCATTGAACTTTGAACAGATCACTGTTTCCAAACTGACCTGGTGGGATTGGTGGGGTCGTAACCTTTTGCGTGAGCAGCATGGCTGGGGTAAGGATGACTGGGTTATCTGGATCTGCAGAAACTGCTGTTAACGGACGAGCATTCACTATTGCAGTGACTTCAGCCATTAAGGTCACTAGTATTTCATGGGTAAGCTTTGCATTCCTGTGTTCTAGGAGCATTGCATCAAGGATTTTGCGCGTGACCCCAATCATTCGCTCCCAGGAGCCAGCCATATGCGACGCATATGGGGGGTTGAATAGCCATTTGCAGCCAGAGTCTTCAAGAAAGCTGTTTAGTTTGCTGTTGTAGCAGCCCTGTTTGTCTATTTGCAGCTCTTTGCAGGCACCCACAAAATTTGTCCCACAATCGGACCTAAGAAGTTTGACTGCACCTCTAATGGCAAAAAAACGACGCAGGGCATTGATGAATGATGACGTATCCATTGATTCTACAACTTCAATGTGAATGGCCCGTGTACTCATGCACGTAAATATGACTGCCCATCGCTTTGCATCCGCTTGCCCACCACGCGTTTTTCTGACGGTGACAGACCAGGGCCCGAACACATCAAGCCCTACATGTGTGAACGGGGGGTCAGTGGACAGCCTATCCTCTGGTAGCTCAGCCATAATCTGTTCCTGCTGTCTGCCTCTTAGTTTTCGACATGTCACGCAGCTGAATATCATTTTGCTTATTGCTCTTTTTCCTCCCACAATCCAAAAGCCTGCAGCTCTGACTGCTCCTTCAGTAAAATGTCTGCCCTGATGGCATACTTTCACATGGAAGTGTCTTATAATGAGCTGGGCAAGGTGGTGTTTGGCAGGGATGAGGATAGGATTTGTTTCATCTGAAGTCAACTGTGCTCGTCTTAGTCTCCCACCCACTCTGAGGATTCCATTTGTGTCAAGAAATGGGTTCAGTTGAACTTTTGAGAGGCATACTCTTTTCAAGCTGTCTTATGTCTTCTGCATAGATTCCTCTTTGGACAGCGCGAATGATAATGATCTTAGCTTGATCGAGCTGCTTTTTGGTTAAATGCTCACTACAGCTGTGCCAGCCCTGACAGGCGCCTTCTATGTTCTGCTTAAAGGACTGAACAATGTGTCGGAGTCTAGATATAGCCTTCAGTAGTACATTCCAACTAGAAAACCTTTCGAATCTGGCACTACTGAGAACATCCTTTGCAAGAGTGGTAACACAAGTAGTTACCTCATGACGCAGTTCGTTGTCAGTCTCTGGGTCTACAAGATCAAACGACTCTGCCTGAGATTGACCTATTTCTGACTTGGTAAGAAAAGCAGGTCCACTGAGCCATGTGGAGGTAGAAAGCTGCTCAGCAGGTAATGCGCGCGTGGCATGATCAGCCGGATTTAAGTGAGTGGGCACATAATGCCACTGGTGAGCTTGTGTGGATCGCCTGATGCGTTCCACTCTGTTGTGCACGTAGATGTAAAAACGCCTCTTTATGTTGAAGATGTAACCAAGGACTACTTTGGAGTCTGAATAGAAGCTCACCTGATCAACTGCGACGTCCAGCTCGTCCACGACCAACTCTGCCACCTCGACAGCCAGGACCGCTGCACAGAGCTCAAGTCTGGGTATGGTGATGTCTGGTCTTGGGGCAAGCCGTGCCTTGCCGAGAAGGAAGCCCACTTCATTATGACCATCTCTGTCTGTGAGTTTAAGGTAGGCAACAGCGGCCACTGCCTTGGTAGAGGCATCGCAGAAAACATGGATTTCCTTAGTTACTGCTGCAGAGAGTGGTATTGAGGTGAACATTCTGGGAATCTCAAGTTGTTGTAGATGTTTGAGGGAGTGTTTCCACTGTTGCCACTGTTGTAATTTGTCTTTAGGGAGTTCAGTGTCCCATTCACAAATGTCAGTGGAAATGTCTCTGAGTATGACCCTGCCCTCTACAATGACAGGGACCGCAAAGCCGAGTGGGTCATACACACTATTAACGACTGACAATACTCCACGCTTGGTAAAGGGCTTCTCATTGACGGTTATTTGGAACCTGAACAAGTCTGTAGACAGGTCCCAGCCCAAGCCCAAGCTTCTCTGCATGGGTGTCTGCCCAAGGTCAAGGCCCTGCATGTCAGCTGCAAGGTCCTCACTTGGAAAAGCGTTTGTGATGGTAGGACAGTTGAATGAGATTTTATGCAGGCGTATGTTACACTGAGCCAGCATCTTCTGAGCCCCACAGAGAATGTTGATGGCCTCATCAGTGGAAGGAAATGATTTTAGTCCATCATCCACATAAAAGTGGCGTTCAATGAACTCTCTTACATCATTGCCGTGTTCTTTTTCTCCCTCCATCACTGTTCGTTTCAGTCCATAAATGGCCACTGATGGGGAGGGGCAGTTCCCGAACACGTGGACTCTCATCCTGAATTCCTGTACTTCTCCATCCAGATCATGGTTTTTGAACCACAAGAAGCGAAGGTAGTTGCGGTGGTCTTCTCTGACAACAAAATTGTAAAACATTTGCTCCACGTCGGCCATGACTGCGTATGGGTCGGACCTGAAACGCATCAGAACTCCCACAAGAGTATTATTGAGATCTGGCCCTTTTAGTAGCACATCATTGAGAGAAACATTGTTGTATTGCGCACTTGAATCAAAAACCACCCTAATTTTTCCTGGCTTCTGAGGGTGATAAATGCCAAAACTAGGGAGATACCAGCATTCTTGTTCTGGAGCTAAAGCTGGAGCTGGTTCAGCGTGGCCCTTACTGAAAGTTTTGTCTAAAAACTCAATGTAATGTTCTTTCATTTCAGGTTTCTTTTTCAGTGTTTTGCGGAGCGTCATTAAGCGACTGAGGGCTTGGTCCCTATTGTTGGGTAAACGCTGTCTGGGGGAGCGGAATGCGAGTGGAGCTACCCAATTGTTCGCCTCATCTTTAGTAAAGTCTCTGTGCATAATTTCCAGGAATAATGCATCTTCTACAGAAAAAGCCATTTTGTCATCATCTGCTGTTTGCTGGAAAATGTGTCTGCCTACTTCTGCTTGTGTCTTCTCGAATTTAGGACAGCTTTCTGTGTATTTGTCTTTTATATAGATTTTGCTTGCACAGGGGCTAAGGGAGGTAGGGCGCCCGTTATTCAGAATGTCTGTCTTGAAAGAGTTTACTGTGGGTTTGTGGGCACCTGAGAGGCAGACATCGCCTACAACCACCCATCCCAGATCGAGGCGTTGGGCATAAGGTGCACTGTTTGGACCATTTACCTGACTGCGAACCTTGTGAGCTTGGATGATGTCCCTGCCCAAGAGGAGGAGAATGTCCGCGGCTGGGTCCAGAGGAGGGATCTGTGAAGTGAGTGCATGTAGATGAGGGTGAGCCGACACGCCTCCTTGGTGGGTATCTCATCTCTATTATCTGGAATGTGATCACATTCTGTTAGTGTGGGCAGCACCATGGACACTTCCCCATTTACATCCTGAATAATGAAATTAGTTGCTCTGCGTCCTCCAGCCTCTGACAAACCTGCACATGTTTTCATGGTGTATGGGAGCATAGCGCCTTTTACATTAAACATGTCGAAGAAAGCAGACCTGGCTAAGGATGAGTTGCTTTGATCATCCAACATGGCGTACATCCTCTTTTTCTCTTCAGGATTTGTGCGGGGATACACGTCGACTAAACAAATCTTAGAGCAGGATTTACCTTTTAGACCTGGGCCACACACCTCTGTGCAAGCAGTTGTGGTTACAGGGCTTGAAGGATCAGACTCCCCGCCGTGGCTTTGAGGCAGGAGGTTAGAGTCCTTGGTTGCCCACAGAGGTGGACCAGCATGCATGGCAGACACATGAGCGTCACTATTACATTCCGAGCATTGGATAATGGCTTTGCAATCGTTAGCTCGGTGACCTGTGGAAGAACAACACTTATAACAAATAGCATGTTCTTTGAGGATGCTTTTCCTTTCATCTAGTGTTTTTGACCTAAAACCCCTGCATTTAGCAAGTAAATGGGGCTTGTGGTGAATAGGACATTGTCTGTCTGGGTTGAGAACTGACGTTCGAGCTGTGACATTTGTTTGACTAATATCTGTTCTGTTCACTGCAACCGCACCTCTGGATTTAGTTGGTTTCAACAATGGCTTATCAGGTTTTGGAGCTACTATGTTTGAACTTTGTAACATAAAGCTAGGATCTGTTTTCATTTCTGCATAATCATTTATAAACTGAACAAAAAATGAGAAAGGTGGGTAAACTGCACCATTGTCCCTTTTGTATTTTGTCCCCTGTTTCACCCAGGACTCCTGGAGTCCGTAGGGGAGCTTTTCCACTATCGGGTTTATCCCCCTTGGGGTGTCCAGAAAGCTAAGGCCGGGTAGACAATTTTCACTTTGTGCATACTCTAACTCCAACAGGAGATCTGCAAGCTCCTGCAATAAGTGAGTGTCCTTATTAGATATTTTTGGAAAAGACTGTAAGCGTTGGAAAAGTGTTGCTTCGACTACCTCTGGAGAACCAAAACTTTTGTCCAGACGTTGCCACAAACGTTGAAGACTTGCGTGTGGGTTGTTCACATGGACCGCCCTGATCCTCAGTGCATGTTGTAGTGACTCCCCGCTGAACCACTTGGTGAGAAGGTCAAGCTCTTCGCTGAACTTGAGGTTGAGGCCTTCTATGGCGTTGCGGAAAATGGACTTCCAGGACGAGTAAGACTCAGGATGGTTGTCAAAAACCTTGAATCCCGCTGTCAACAGATCATGGCGTGCTAGATAGGCTGTGAAATCTGAGAGTTCAGTCTTTGGAGGCAATGAAGGTTTAGGCTGGGTTGCAATGTCAGTTTTTCTGTTTATAGGAGGGGACTTTGGTTGCTCCTGATCTACAAAATCAGTGAGATGTTCACCTGGAGAGGAGGCAACTGGTGGTTGACTCTGTCGTAGATGCTGAGCGTTGTTATTACCAACCAGTTGTCCTGTATCGGGCTGTCCGTCTTCATTAACTACCAAGCTGCGGTTAGCGAAGTGAGCGTTCACATAATCTTGAGTGCGTCTGATGGAAGGAGGTGTTTTAGAGGAGACTCCTTGTTCTGTGAGGTCAACGGCGTCATGCTCCTCATTGGCTGCCGCTTCCAGGACATGAGCTGCGGCAAGCGCTGCTTTAGCCTCACCCTCCTTCTTTAGAGCGTTTAGTGTTGCCTCGATGCGTGCCTTCTCAACCTCCATGTCGATCTGGCGTTTGGCGTACTGTGCTCTAGTGCGGGCAGCTTCTGCTTCTGCTCTGGCTCGGGCTGCAGCTTGACTGGCTGATGAACGACGTGAAGAGCGTGAAGAGCGTGAAGAGCGTGAAGAGCGTGAGTGGCACTCTGACCGGACCACCATCTGGGAGAGAGGCGGTGACGCTTCAGGCTGAGACATCTTGGGTGCTTGATAGGTAGATAATCTTCTTACTCTGCTGCCCTCAGGTGAATGTATGGTTCAACAAACTCCCCGACGATGTAAACTGGGCTTAAAGTTGTGCAGCTTGTTTTCTGCTCCATGCATTTTCTCACACTGCCTCCGTGAACTTTTTCTGCTGCTTACAACACATCACCAAAGGGGGCAGTGTAGCGCACACCAAACAACCAAAGAAGAAGCCACAAACTGAAGGGGTAATACTGCCCACTATTGGGAAACCTGAGAAAGGCGCCAGCCATAGAAACCCAACAAAGTAACAACCGAGGGGCAGAATAGACCTCCTTATTTAATACTTTATTTGAATCCTGAAATGAAAGTTAATAATTTGACAACTCTTCTATAATGTTATTACAGCTCTGTGCTTTGCAGCTTATTTGACATCATCAAACAAAAGAAACAACAAAGATTTTCAAACACTATGAGCGTTTCACTTTGGCCTCAACTGATTTGCAAACATTATCAGGAATCTGTTTCTGAAACATCACAGGTAAAAAAAATTTAAAAT